TAATTTAAAATATTAATACAAGTTTTATACAGATTTTATAGGTAGGTATCAATTATGTTATTCCCACTCACCTTGAAACCCAATTCTTGAGCAATAATAAAATGCCACGAATAACTCTGCTCAACCACGGTTTTATAGGAAATCACCGTGAACTTGCAGCATAATGTTGCAGTTTTGTATGGTAAGTAACGGGAATACTAGACCATTTTTACTAGTAACTAGGCATCATTCCATCTTAGTCCTCAGGGTCATAATGACGCACCTGTTTTTAAATTTTTAATCAAAAATAGATGAGATTGGCTGAAGATCAGATTATCTCCTTACCATTAGGATAGTGTGCTCGTTTGTCGCAATTACTAGTGCTAAAATTATAAACATGATAAAGCCAGTTGTAGAAAATACCAGTAAATAATTTGATGTAGTTTGTTAGTGATAACAATATAAAATCAGCAAATAATGTAAAATCCATTTTAGGCATCGACAATACGTTTACGTATAAGTGATCACTTGCCATGAAATGAAATGTATCGCCTTAAAATACTCTCATCATTATCATCATCAACATGTCTAAACAACTACTGGTACACATGGGATCCACTCTTTCTTCATCGTCAACCCATAATCCAACCAAAATTCCATCTCTACTGATATGGTATGGTAATAAAAGTTTACTTAGACAGAAAAAGCATTTTAGAGTAGTTATTAAGAAATATATTAGAGTTGATTCTAAATGATAAGAGGGATTTTCTCGGGTACCGTGGGGTTAGTTTACATACATACATTTTACAAGGACAAACATCCAAATCGGAAACAATTACTTGTGGGCCATACAAATACTTGTTCCGTGCGGGATTCAAACCAGCGGCACTAGCGCTGCAATTAATTGCTAAGCCACTGCGATACGGAGCTGTCAATGCCGTTAGCCGGCCGTTTTTACGATATATTAAATTATTTTTTAAATAGAATTGTTTTCTAACTTTTTTTATTTCGTTATAACTACGCAGTGTATAGAATTGTTTTCTAACTTTTTTTTAAATTCGTTATAACTACTGAAGTGTTTGTACAGTAGGGCTACGATGGCTATCCGAGTACAGAATCAGAGTACGAAAACTATCCAACTGCAGAGAGGTGTAAGACAGGGTGACGTTATATCCCCGAAACTCCTCACCGCTGCATTGGAAGACGTTTTCAAGCTGCTGGACTGGAAAGAATGCGGTATTAACATCAATGGCGAGTACATCACTCACCTTAGATTTGCCGACGACAGAATCATTATGGCAGAATCGCTGGGGGACCTAAGCACTATGCTCAATGAACTCAATAGTGTCTCCCAACGGATAGGTCTTAAGATTAACTTGGTCAAAACAAAAATCATGTCTAACGTCCATGTCACACCTATGCCGGTAGTTGTTGGGAGCACTAAGCTCGAAGTTGTTGACGAGTATGTTTACCTGTGACAAATAGTCCGACTAGGTAAGTCCAACTTCGACCGAGAGGTCAATCGACGGATTCAACTCGGCTGGGCAACGTTCGGGAAACTACGACACATTTTTTCTTTAGACATACCTCAAAACCTTAAAACAAAATTGTACAACCAGTGCGTGTTGCCAGTGATTACTTACGGATCTGAGACGTGGTGCTTCACTGCTGGCCGTATGAGGAAGCTCAAGGTCGCTCAGCGAGCTATGGAGAGGGCTATGCTCGGGGTTTCTCTGCGTGATAAACTCAGAAATGAGGATATCCGCAGTAGAACCAGAGTAACCGACATAGCCCAACGGATTAGTAAGCTGAAGTGGCAATGGGCCGGCTATATAGCTCGAAGAACCGACAACCGATGGGGAAGAAAGGTTCGCGAGTGGCAGCCTCGTACCGGTAGGCGAAGTGTAGGACGACCCCCACTAGATGGATTAACGACCTGGTAAGACATGCAGGAAGTCGATGGATGCAGGTGGCTCAGGACCGTGCTTTGTGGCATTCCTTGGGGGAGGCATATGTTCAGCAGTGGACTTATGAAAGTCTGTAATGATGATGATGATGATGATGAACTACGCATTTAAATTTAATTTAATTCATATCAGTTTTCATATCTGCTAACAGCTAAGCAAACAATTCAAATCGCCTCATATGAAAGTTGTAATGAGTTATATAGACAAGAAATTATTTAGTAAAAAAAAGAAATTTGTCTTCATCCAAATCTTATTTCATAATTATCAAGTTAAATTGCATCCAATATGTAGTACCAATAGCAATAATATGTTGCAATCGAAATTTAGGAGAGAGGATTTTACATTAAAACCGGCTATAATATTTAAAAAATTATATTATATTAGTTTCAATTTCTCATTGGATTTGTTATTTTAGACATACTTTCATTCATTTTAGACATTCTTATGCTTCAATTCGGACGAAAATAATATAAGTCGTCTTAAAAATCCTTCCGTCTTCCGATGCACTATATACCTAATATCCAAACCAACAAAACTTTTTCTATTTCTTTTCCAAATTGGTATTTGATCTGGAAATAAAAATAATAATAGATAAAATTAATTCCATTTCGCTAAAGCATCAATTTAAAATCTTGATAATGTCAGACACGATGATTTCACTTAAATAAATTACGCAGAATCTAGTGTATCACATAATATCGTAAATATTTACTCAAACTCAGAATCGTGGAACTCGTTTACTCACAACCTTCTGTCTTAATACGTAAAAACTGATGTAAAACTAATCCAAAGAATAAAATTTACTTTAGCTGTAATTTATATTTAAGCGTAAGTTTTAGTTATATAAGTTAGTTAGCCTAAGTAACAATGGGCCATCCCTATGGCCACATTGCAAAAACAAACAACAGCGGATGGGAAAGAATAAATCCTATGTAACAGATTATGTATTTTGTGATGCAGTCTTAAACTGGCAAGTAGAACGTATTCATACATTACACAGTCCTTGAAGAAAACCATCTTACAGCTGTGGCCTTATTATAGGCTGTAATGATTTTGATCAAGATAAGATTGGCTCTAAGGAACCTTGGCAATTCGAGTATTTTTTTAAATACAAACCAAAAAAAACTGCATATTGATATTGTCGATGGTTTATCTATCGAAATAAATAAATAAAACTAAATTACTTAAAAAACTGTTATTCTTTTTCATGACTGTAGATTGTTCTTAGAAATTGATCGTTAGAATAGAATAGAATAATTTTTATTCAATATAGATTACAAGAATACTTATTAAGTCAGTGACGCTTTACCACTGATTCAGGGAAAACCTGTGTTCTGGAAAACCAGCAACAAAACTAGCAGGATTATTCAAGAAATTAATAATAATTTACAATATAGTATTATACAAGGTTATTTTTCAAAGAGTATCCAAATTTTAAACTTAAGTTCAAACATATAAATAATGATACACCGTTATTGTAGTTTTTGAAAATACGAGTAAGTAAGGCTTCTACTTTTATTTGAAAAATATCCCAAATTAAAAGTCATTTATGGGCAATATGCCTACCGATCGATCCTTACGAATGTGTGCGAGCGCAGTAAAATCAGTCAAAATATAGCATTACCACGTATTTTGAATGTAAAAGATAAAAAGGGCAGAATGTTTGAGATTTTTTTTATTACATTTTCTTCACCATTTGCCTATATTCTGACCTTGTCTGCAAATTTGACCGGTTATTGCAAAATAACCCCGTATACAACTAGTATGAAAACGTTTAGAAACAGCATAGTAGCGATCACCTCATTCTCAGGGGTTATAATCAATTAATTAATTAATTAATTAATCAATTAATTATTCCCTTACTAAACAATTTTTGCTTAGTAAAAATTTTAAGCCTTTTTATAAATAAGGCCTGCATATTTTCTCTAACGCTATCCTCTCTTATTATGTAGTAACTGTGCGACCAAGCGTTTTTCGGCGTTAGAAAAAATGTATTTAATTCTGTCACTCTCCCGGTTAAACTTTTAAAGTAAAACGTTACATATATATATACGTACAAAATTTCTTCCAAATCGTTAGAGCTCTTTCCGAGAAAAATGTAAATATACCGTTACATAATAATTTTTGAAATCATGTCAGTACCTACCACTTATTAAGTAAGTGTATTGTGCCGTTAGGAATATTTATTTAATTCAAAGTGTTTATAAGTTCGTTGTGTTAATTTAATTTGTTATATGCAAATTAAATAAGGATACAAAATCTAGCAGGTTCTTCGTTCATGTTGGGCATCTAGCCAGTTGTTCTCAAAGTATGAAATTATCGTTATTCATAAATTAAATTATATTTAAGCCAAAATTATTAAGTTGTACTGAAATTAAAACACTATTTTGTTTGAAATATTTATTAAGATTGCTTCACAAAATACTCAAATTAGAAAAAATCTATAACAAAAATATATTATTACCTATTTACAGGATCTAATTGTAAAATACTAATTAAATCTTGATAATTCAAAATTAAAAAAAATACAATAAAAATTAATAACAACAGTAATAGAAAAAGTTTACTAAATAAATAGGCATAAGGCTTCAAAACATCCATGACGTGATATAAACATAACATAACGATTTAAAACCGTCGTCATTGTAACTTTATTTAATAATAAATAATTTAAAATAACAAAAGTAAAGAAAAATATATTTCACATTCGTCATGAAAACCCTAACCTCAGTCTAACCCAACTAAGATGGTCAGGTACAAAGTAAACACAAAGTAAGGCTAATAAATTATATAAAAAATAAATTAATTTATTTTTAACAGTTCCATGGTCATTATGGTTCATGTTACCTTTTTTATATTAGAGACAAGTTTTATTATTTCGACGCTTTAAGTTTGAACATCATCGTGTGTCTAATATCATAGCAAAATAACTGGTATTATACTCGTACACCATAAATAATCCTCGAAATATTTTATCTGCCCAATATTTAAACGAAGTCAAGACGAACTTTGTTCAGTGTCAACTGGCAAGTTAAACTAGAAGTCAAAACAAGAATGGCGACGTTTAAAGTAAGTTTATTTGACGTTTTTGTTAAATTTTACTAAAAATTTAGGCGTACATGACTTGGAAGGAAGTCCTTTACTTAATATTTATAATAAATAATAAATGTAAATAATTTGTACAAAATCATAAAACCATAATATGATAAAACAAACATCATCATCATCATCATTATAGCCCTTCATAAGTTCATTGTTGAACATAGGCCTCCCCCAAGGAATGCCATAAAGCACGGTCCTGAGACACCTGCATCCATTGACTTCCTGCATGTCTTACCAGGTCGTCACTCCATCTAGTGAGGGGTCGCCCTACACTTTGCCTACCGGTACGAGGCTGCCGCTCGAGAACCTTTTTTCCCCATCGGTTGTCGGTTCTTCGAGCTATATGGCCGGCCCATTGTCGTCACTTCAGCTTACTAATCCGTTGGGCTATGTCGGTTACTCTGGTTCTACTGCGGATATCCTCATTTCTCAGTTTATCACGCAGAGTAACCCCAAACATAGCCCTCTCCATAGCTCGCTGAGCGACCTTGAACGTCTTGACATGGCCATCAGTTAAGGACCACATCTCAGATACATAAGGTATCACTGGTAACACGCACTGGTGGTACAATTTTGTTTTCAGGTTTTGAGGTAGACCTGACAAGAAGATGTGTCGTAGTTTCTCGAACGTTGCCCAACCGAGTTGAATCCGTCGAATGACCTCTCGGTTGAAGTTGGACTTACCTAGTCGGACTATTTGTCCCAGGTAAACATACTCGTCAACAACTTCAAGCTTAGTGCTTCCAACAACTACCGGCATAGGTTCTATTTGTCATCTTTGTTTTGTCCATGTTCATCTTAAGACTTTTTTTTTTCGATTTTGAGGTCATTGAGCATAGTGCTTAGGTCCTCCAGCGATTCTGCCATAAGGACTATATCGTCGGCAAATCGAAGGTGAGTGATATACTCGCCATTGATGTTAATACCGTGGCCTTTCCAGTCCAGTAGCTTGAAAACGTCTTCGAATGCAGTGGTGAAGAGTTTCGGAAATATAACGTCACCCTGTCTTACACCTCTCTGCAGTGGATAGGTTTCGTAATCTGATTCTGTACTCGGATAACTATCGTAGTCCGACTGTGCAAACACTTCAGCACTTCGATATACCAACAGTCAACTTGGCACCGCTGAAGGGACTGTACCACCGCCCAAATTTCGACGGAATCAAAGGCTTTCTCATAGATGAAAGAATTTTGAATAAAACTACTTTTACGGATTTTATCGCGTTTAATTAACTTTTTTTATTAATTCCTGAAGTTTTGGGTGCTTTACAGCACCCATGGTCACGGGAGACTGATTGACGTTCCGATGTCAAAGTTAACCCGGAGTACCTTCAGCTTTTTTAATTAAAATCAATGTGTAGTGTTCGCGTAAATATAAGAAATCATTATGAAAGAATATTGTAATAACATTCCGTCATCTTTGTTTCAGACATGTCTTTCAATAATCGCTATCACATTACTTTTAGTTAATGTGGTAGCTAGCTATGGTGATTACGGTTACGGAGGAGGCTACGGTGGACAAGGCTCCTATGGTCATGGAGGCTTCGGGCATGGTGGATACGGTGGCCAAGGCGGCTTTGGACACGGAGGGTATGGTCATGATGGGCATGGCCATTACGGGCATGACCATTACGGGCATGACCATTACGGACATGGTCATGGCGGCTTTGGACAAGGAGGATTTGGAGGATTTGGAGGTGGTTACGGACGTTAATATATTTAACTAATAAATCATATAAAACTTAAACCAGTACTTGTACTCACTGAGTGTATGTGTGTGTGTGTATCAATTAAATCTTAAGTTTGTCCAGCTTTGTTTTTTTTTACAATGTTGTAGCATCTTGTCCTGAGAAATTGGCAAAAGTAAAACGACCACTGGAAAGATATTGCGATAGCATTCGTAGTAACATCGACCCAAAATACATGGCGAATCTTGAACCTCTTATGATAAAATTCTGATTCTCCTCCCTTTGGAGTGGCAGTATCGCTTTTTGTTCATCTTTTACTTTAACTGGTGATATATTCAGAGTTCGGAGAATGTTAGTATAAAGTCCAGGTGGTAGATTATTTGGAGGTAAAATAGGTCCTATACTCGTAGGTAATGGGGTAGTATTTTCAGTTGGTGCAGATGGTACATTTTGCTCACCTGGTATTGCAAGGAATGACTGAACTGGTTGTATAACTTCAGCAGGTGGTTCCACTACAGGAATCATTACAATATTTTCAACCACATCTGGAGGAGGCTTCTCAGGACTTTCTAAGGGCTGAACAGTTGACAAAACGGCAACATTCTGCGCAGGTGATGGAAGAGCTGTAACAGATTCTTCCTTCCCAGGAAGCACTTCTAATTCTTTTTTGATATTAGAAGGTAACATTGATAAATTACCACTAAGATCAATCACACTATTTAAATCCCTTTTTTCAATTTTATGCTTTATTCCAAACATTTTAAATTTTCCAAATTTAGACCACTTTTCAAATATTAACTCGAGAGATTTAAACGGAGTTGGACTAAACTCTATTTCAAAATGTTTCTTGAAATTTATTCCAGGCGACGGTTTTAAATAAACAATTTGTATACTTAAAAATAATACTGCCATCTGTAAAAAATAACACTATTTTAATAACAAGTTTCACTGATTATTATAATATTAATACAAGTTTTAACTTCAAACATATAATACCTCAACAAAATATTTCATATTTCACCAATGAACTAAACCAATTGAAAATCCAAATAACAATGAATGTTGGGTAAATATGTCTTTTCATTTAAAATAACTGATAATCTAAACAGTTTTACTGTGACCTTAAGAGGAACACGCTAGGACATTTCAGACTTCAATAACTAGGACAAGGTATCGTGTACTATATTTTCATAATTTTTCAACTCTAAGGAAAAACAACAAATAATATGGACGGCTACGTAGAAAAACAAAACGTTTGGATGAAGACATTTGTCCAATAGTACCACAATATGACAAACAATACAAGTTTCTATAAGTTAAAAAAATAATTTAAAAACAGTAGAAATAACAGAAAACTACATGTTGTATTTCAATGTCAACTGCATTATATGTGTTGTGTTGTTTGCACTGCATATGATCCTGTATTCGCTCTTGTCTCATAGGTATTACATCAGACCTGGGTAGGTTAAGACGACTAATTGATTGCTTCTAAGTTATCCTGCGTACCTGTAGCAATAGCTACATATAATAAATATTTCGAGAGTACTGAAGAGCTACAATTTTATATTAAAGTCGTCGCCATAACCCAAAAATGGTCAAAGTTGGTCATTCAAGTCGCTTCAAATTCATATTTTTTCAATAAAATAAATTAACTTTCATGCTATTTAAAAAATAAAAGTAGGTTGTCATCATGCTTCAAAGTGTCTTGCTTCGAGAATACGTAATAAGATCGAAACAATGTGAAGTTTTTGAAAGCGATATAACTGGTTGTGTAAACACGTTCGGAATATCAATTTGTCACCTACTCGTACCAGCACAGATTCCTTTGCAGACGCTTATTAATGAACCGCACATACAATCCGAGTTTCGCGTACTTACTAAACTAGTCTTATATATGACAGTGCTTTTGATATTAGTATATAATATAGTAATTGTTTATGTATTATATCAGTAGCAAGAATCTAGCTGGACCGAAGAATCGCTCCTATACGCGGTATACGAAAAGAAGTTATATAATATTTACATATTAGTTCGATACTAGCAATTTTTAACATTTTTAACCTTACCCTTAAACTTAGAATTTCTTTTGTATCCAGGAGGCATTTATAAAATAGTATAGATGTAGTCAACCGCCGAGGCACGTGCACGCATACGTTCTAATCCATCCACGCTGCATCGGATTCGTCTCATACAAGTTTCAAGCGAATTTTTCCGGTTATTTCTTATCAACACCAAAAAGCTGATGGATTATACTATAAAAATCTATACATATTACATTTGAAGGTTGTTTAATGTGTACTGTAGCATTTTGAAAACTTATCCGCAAACTAGAATTTTCTTTTGCCTCGTAAAAGCGTTTTACATACATAAATTTCACACGGACAAACATCCAGACTTGGATAATTATTTGTAGATCATACAAACACTTCTTAGGTGCAGGATTTGAACACGCAGACCCGCAGCGCCGCAGCCAAATGCCGCGACTTGCCACTGCGCTACTGAACCGTCGTACGATCATCACCAACTTTCACTTGCACAAACTTACAGATGAGTAGAAAGACGGTAGGAGTGGTGCTAAATGATATACATAGTAATTCAACAAAGCTAGGAAAAAATATTTATTGGGCACACTGGGCAAGTGCCCAGGGCCCGGCGATGCAGGAGGCCTCTAGTCCCTAACAGATTTTCAACCTTTTTTTAATATTTCTTTTTTTTAATATTTTCTGATAATACTAATCTGCTTTTATAGTTATATCGTAAACAATGCATTTAGTACTGTTGACTCCTATTTTTTTTAAATTATTTTCTTTCTAGAAATTACCTTTCACATTAGTCTTTTTTTCTGAAATGCATTTTCAAATTTGTATCTTCACTGCATATAACAAGGCACCAATTTTATAATTTAATATATAAAAAACCAATTTTCAATTGAAAGTTTTTTTTAATTTATAGTATTATTTATATTATATTACTATAAAAGAGCATAAATCTGAATATTTAGGAGAAAACACCTTAAATTTCTTAACGAATCATCATTAAATTGCAATCAAATATTGTAGAGACAATGTTTTAAATGTTTCGGGAAAGTATGCCGTTCTGCAAGCTTAATTTAAACCATGTCCGGTACATTCCCTAAACTTAATAAATTTTCAAGCAGCTGGGTGAGTAAAAGATAAAACAAGTTCTTCAAATGGTTCAGAAACCAAACAATTTTTTTTGGGTTATACCCACGGATAGAATACACTGACAAAATATGTAGGTTCAAAAAGTTTCAAGTCTTCCTGAATCCAGATGATCTGCGCAAGCTGATGTAGTATAAGCGCCATACATCTAGATCAACAACAAACTATACAAGCCTTGACGTCTGTTGTAAAGGATATAGAGCTAAAACCAAAAAAAAAAATGGTGAACCTGAAGTTTATTAAACTTACTGACAAATTTGAAGTACCATATTATTGGCAAAAATAGACAAAACAAGTATGATACATTCAACAATACCTTAAGAAAAAAGCAATAAAAATGGACATTGCAATTCATTTGTTTACTTCATTTGATAATTTTATTATCGATCTCGGGGATAAATTTGATTACTTTGAACTGTCCGCCAAAAAGAAATGCCAAAGTCTGATAACAGGGTCCTGTCCTAAAGAACAATTGGTAGAAGCTCAATTTAGGCATTCTTTTATTGCTCCATACCATCAGCCCAAACAACCAAAAGAGAAATTCTAAGTATAATCTTTTCTCCCTTTAATTGATGATCTGAGTATGCATATAAAATAATGATTAAATTCGTACAAGGAAATAAGTAAATATTCGGTTCCATTTTTTATCTCACCTAAAACTTGTGTATTAATTGTCAAATCAAATCCACAAAGAATTTGCTAAATCTTTTGCTCTATACTTACATATAAAAACTAAATTGAGGTATTTGTCTATAATTTTGAAATAACTAGCTTCTATTTGACTCAAGGGGTTATTTGCACTTTGGCTATAAGATATAAATACCAATTTTAATTTTTTTTTCCGTCTGTTTGTCTGTCCGGGATAATCTTCTGAGTGTCTGAAGCGATCGTGATGTAACTTCATGAATAGATAGAGAGCAATGCCTGGAGTGATTAAGGCTATATTTTATCCAGAAAACCCACAGGTTCTTTTTTGTAAAATTAATAAACTGATAAAATATTTTTTTTTATTTCAATTTAAAAGATTTTTTTGTAGTTATTTTTGAAGTTTCCAATGAAACTTTTTTAGTTTGCAACTTTAACGACGACTTTTGTAGAATCGACTACCACCAGTTATTTTTTCGTACCGATAGTACATAGGTACCTTCAAGAAAAGAGCCTACTCTTTTTTCAAAGGCCGGCAATGCCTCTGCAATTACTCTTTTTCTTTTTTTTTACCATCAGGTAAGCCGCATACTCGTTTGCCCCCTCTTATATAATAGAATATTGTGTAATTAATAGCTCTTCAATTTTCAAATTAAATAATTTCTGATATCGCATATAGTTTTCGCGATAATAGTTAAAAAACTGAAGTGGGAGACAAAGGTGGTATTACGATAACGGAATTATTTGACCAAAAAATACTATTAGGTACAATATATTATACAGGTTATTATTTAATTTCTACGCGAAGACGCGGGTAAAAGCTAGTAAAGAATAAATATTATAATTTTTGTGTATCTAGTTTCTTTTGGTATAATCCTCGTATTCTGTACAAATACCAGCGTATATTTTTCAGATATAAAATTGATGTCACAAATGAACTTGCAGTTCACCCGATGGTAAGTGTCTACTGTTGACCATGGCTCCCTATTGCCTCCAGACTGGAACATGCTGTACAAGCACTGCCATTTGGCAGGAGAAATATATAAAAGGATGATACCTACCCAGACGAATTCCTAGGCAGAAAATGAAACCTGCCACCTAGAAAAATTACAGCATAATGTTGCTGTGTTTCATAATATCGGTTAACAGAACCGAGACACTTCTAAAGAATATATATATATATATATATATATA